TCCGAGAACTTTCCCAGAAGATGCGAAAACTTCCCATCAGCCCCGAGACCTTACCATAAATTTCGAGAACTTCCGAGATGCGTGTACTTCGAAGAACATCTGAAAACTACTCACAATTGATGTGAGCTTCCTAGAAGTTCCTTTCAAGAACTGTTCAGAAGATCCCTGAATTTACTAGAAATTTCGAGAATTTTCCAAAAATTCCGAGAACTTCCCAGAAGATCTCAGAACTTCTAAAGACTTCTTAGAATATCCAAGTTCTTTCCCGGCATACAGTTAACTTTACAGAATTTTCAAGAGCTTCAGAACTTACTCTGAGAACTTAAAAAAATCAGAGTAATTACAGCAAATTTCGAAAATTTCCCAAAAATTCCGAAAGCTTTCCAGAAGTTTTATAAACTATCCAGAAAATTCCAGAAATTTCGAGAACTTTCCCAGAAGATGCGAAAACTTCCCATCAGTCCCGAGACCTTGCCATAAATTTCGAGAACTGCCTAGAAGATATGCGAATTTCCCACAAGATCCGAGAACTTACTAGAAATTCTGAAGACTTCTCAAAAGTTCCAAGAACTGCCCAGAATTTCCGACAGGTTCTTACAAGATGTGTGCACTTCGAAGAACATTTAAAAACTACTCACAATTGATGTGAGCTTCCTAGAAGTTCCTTCCAAGAACTGTTCAGAAACTCCTTGAATTTACTAGAAATTTCGAAAACTTTTCGAAAATTCCGAGAACTTCACAGAAGATCTCAGAACTTCTAAAAACATCTTAGAATATCTAAGTACTTTCCCGACATTCAGTTAGCTTTACAGAATTTTCAAGAGCTTCCCATGAGTTCTCAGAATTTCTCAAAAGATCTGAGAACTTCCCATAAAAAATCAATGCAATGGGAAATATTCCGAAAATTTCCCAAAAATTCCAAGAGCTTTCCATAAGTTCCATAAACTTGCCAGAAGATTCAAAAACCTTGGATCAGCTCCGAGAACTTCCCAGATTTTCCAAGAACTTCCCCAGAAGATGCGAGAACTTCCCAAAAAAAATCCGAAAACTTCCCAACAGTTCCGAGAGATTTCCACAATTTCCGAAAGCTTGCCATAAATTCCGAGATTTGCGAATTTCCCAAAAGATCCGAGAACTTACTAAAAATTCTAAAGACTTTTTAAAAGTTTCGAGAACTGCCAGGAATGCCCAAAAACTACTCCGAATTTCCGACAGATTCTTACGAGATGTATGCACTTCGAAGAACATCCGAAAACTACTCTTCTGCGAGCTTCCCAAAAATTTCCTTCCAAGAACTGAAGTTCTTTAAATTTCCCTTAATTTCCGAGAAGTTTCCAAAAATTCCGAGCATTTTACAGAAGATCGGCGAATTTCACAGAAATTCAAAGAACTTCTAAGAAGGTCAGAAAACTTTCCAGAAGTTCAGCGAACTTCGCAGAAGATCTGTATTTTTTCTATAAATTGCAAAGTTCAAAAAATGTCCCAGAAACTTCGAAATCTTCCCAGAATAACAGAACTTTCCAGAAGCTCCGGGATCTCTTCCAGAATGTAAGATACTAAGAAATCCCGAAAACTTTCCACATTTTCCTAGATCGTCTCAGGGTTTCCAAGAAATTCCGAGAACTTCCCACAAGATTCGAGAACTTCCCACAAGATTCGGGGACTTCTCAGAAGTTAGAAGATGTTCCCAGAATTTGCATGTCCTTTCTGAAAATCCTGAAAACTTCCTAGAAGATCGTAGAACTTCCCAGAAATCACAGGATTTTCTCCCAAGTTTCGAGAATTATTTTAGTTATTCACAGGATTTCTTTAGGTTTCTCAAGAATTTGCTTAGCATCATCTCAAAATTACATCAGAAGTTCATCTTAGAACTCTTTCTGGTATTCGCTTGCCATTTGCTTCATAATGCTCTAGAAATTATTTCCAAAAGGCACTTTGATTCACTCAACAGTTCCCTTAAAATTCTTAATTAGGTTCGCTGTATTACCTAGGAGTTCGGTTCTTTAATTTTTTAAAAATATATCGGTTTTTACAGATCATCTGAAAGAGCTTCGTTTTCTGAGCACAGTGATATTTTTTTTTCGAACTTCACTGTTTAACACTAAACTAACAAACTGGCAGCTCGGTCCCATACAAAGTCTGACCGAGGGACACTTAGATGGTGATTTTTGCTCATGTAATTTCACTTATTTAAAATAGCTCCAGTGTACCAAAATTAATGAAATTTTGGAGGTCAGTTCCATTTTAATGCAGATTACCAATATGCATTTACGTCAATACCCTTAAAGAACCTAATGAATTCTCCTGCAATAAACTCTCTTTTCAGTATTCATAAAGTATCTCCTGAAATGCTCGTGAAGTTATCATCGGAAGTTCCTCTAAATTCCACTCAGAGTTCTCTAAGAGCAGTCCCTGAAATTCCTTGAAACGCTCCTCAGAATTGACGACTAGAAACTCTTAATTTAACTTATTAATTGAATTAACTTAATTTCTCTTAAAATGATTACAGGGTTGGCCTTGAAAGTCTCCGAAATATTCCTTAAAAATTACTTCAATACTTTGCTGAAACTTTCCTCAGAATTCCTTCAGCATCCTCATAATTGTCATTGAATTCTTTCTTAAATTCCCATTGGATTCTCCTTTTTCTCTTGGATTTCTACTCACAAGTACCTTGGAGTTCTTCTTCCAAATACTTTAGACAGAACTCTCTTTGAATTCTCTTTTGATTACCTTGCAATACTCCTCAAATTTCGGGAATCCTCAGATTTCACTTCAAGATTTCCTAGCAATTCTTCCCTTGGAATTATCCTCTGAATTCCCTTAAAATTATGCCTAGGAAATTCCTTGAAACGCTCCACAGAATTCTCTTCAAACTCTTATTTAAACTAATTAATTAAATTACCTTAATTACTTGAATAATTGAAAATTACTTCAAAGCTTTTTTGAAACTTTCCTTGGAATTCCTTTGGAATCATCTTCATAATTGTCATTGAATTCTTTCATAAATTCCATTTGGATTATCCTTCTTCTCTTGGAATGCTACTCACAAGTGCCTCCAAGTTCTCATTACAAATCCTTTAGACAGAACTCTCTTGGGATTCTCTTTTGAATTACCTTGAAATACTCCTCAGAATTCTGGAATCCTCAGATTTAACTTAAAGTTTTCCTAACAATTCTTCCCTTGGAATTCTCCTCTGAATTCCCTTAAAATGATCTCTAGAGTTCCTTGCAAATTCTCATCAAATTAGTTTATTAAAATCCACAAGCTGAGAAACTTTTGAAAGTTCCTTATTTTGTTTTAATCTGAGTTCTTGGAAAACATTCAATGTTCGAGGTCTTCAATATTTACTTTCGTTCCAGATTCTTGAAAATGTCTCCAAGTCTGATTTCATTAGGTTCAGGGATTCAAAAATTTGTCTAAGTTTAACATCTGAAGAAATTATTCATGATTTATGATACCTAAAAAAAACAATTAAGGTTTAAGGATTAATGTTATAATTATATAATCTACTCCAGACTTATTATGTCAAAGAGTAAAAGTGAATAACTAGGACGATAAAATTGGCTGGAATTGCTTCAAAATTCCCATAGAATTCCAGTTTTTTTTTTCAACGAAAAATAAAATTCCTTGAGGATTCCCGGGTTTTCCTGGAATTTCTAGGTTTCCCCATACAGCAGACGCACTGGATAAAAATTCAACGAGGTAAATTGCCACTTAAGGTGAAAGTGATCTAGTGAGTAAATAAAACTTTTAAGAATGGTTTTCTCTAAGACATCACTTCAGATTGCAAAAAGCTCTTTCTTTTTATTATTTCGGAAATAAACCGAGGGGAGCTTTTTCCGATCTGAAGTGATGTCTCAGACAGAGAAATCCATTTTTAAAATTTGAAGTTACTCACTAGGCCACTTTCACCTTAAGGTGAATTGTATTCATTGCATTTTCAATGACCCATCTTAATTTTCTGAGGCCAACGCCAATTGTTCCATATTTTCCAAACTTTTCCCCTATAGTTTTAAAAATCCGAAACATCTGGTCACCTTTCTCCCGACGAACCTTGCCGACGTCTGGCTACTGCGTTTTTTTTTCGGCTGCAGCAGAAACCCCTTCGTTATTAACTCTTTCCCATTTTTCTCGTCGCACGTTTTGAAAATGCGCGCCGCTCTTAATCCAACCAACAAGAATACGCGCACTCACTCGCAGAGAAAGAGACTGTAAAAATATGACAACTTCATAATTAAACACGTTAAATATGCGATTATAATTCGACCAGACAATATTTTACTCGTCGCCCGGTCGTCGTCCGACTCATCGCAGTTGCCCGGGACGGGGGCAGGTAGGGGCAGGACAACTGTCATAATTAGTGTTCAGCGCCTACTTTTCATCTCGAGTTGTTTTCTCTCAGCTGCTGCTGGTTCGTTGTTTGTTGACATCATCACGACCATCATCATCAACACCATCATCTCGTCATGGGGTGAATTTGCGACCGCGATAACATCTTGTTTCACTTTGAATTTGTGTTATCACATCGTAGCGATGTGGCAGCCGCGAGCGCGAGGATGGAATCGGATGTTTCGACTACAACAACGACGAAACCTCGCTCAGCGGAGCTGATAACATTCAATGAATGCGATGGATGTGTGCGAGAAATTTTCGCTGATGATGCAATCAATCGTAGGAGGCATTTGTCAACAGCAATTCTAAATTGGCTGTTGCGCCTGCTGCGATTAATATTTCATGGCTTGAACTTCCTTTTTCGTTGGAAGCTAATTGCATCGAGAATTAATTCTGACCGCGCCCTCCGTGCTTCCGACGACCCTGATCGATTGTCCATTCTATAGGCCTAATGGTGAACAGAAAACAATCTCCCCTGTTTATCATATTTTCTTCGCCAGCTATACAAGCACAAGTGAGCGATCGATCACGTTTCTAATGGCTACCATAAAATGCAAATAATGGTGACAACCGCGCGGGCTGCATACTGATCACAACAGCCACTCACCTGTACAATCGTCGGCAGAAAGCTGACAGACTTTTTGAAGTGCTTCTTGGTCTTCAGCAGTCCTCCTGAGGAGGATGACACCAGGGCCGGCGGCCGGGAAGGCGGTTGCTGCAACTGTGGAACATTGGCACCGGAGTTGCTGAGATGTTGCATCAACTTGCCACCGCCTACTACCACCGTGCCGCCATTGGTGTTGATCATCAGCGAGGACGCAGCCATTGAGCCACCGCCGGTGCTGCGACCTGTGCCAAACAAGGCCGATCGGAAGGAAAATGGATTCTGAAACAGCTGCTGGTGCTGCTGCCGTGGTGTATGGGATAACTGAGGCGTGTTTGGTTGTTGGGCTGAACCCACCTTGAGCGGTGCCTCGTAGAAGGGAGCCTCCTGGAGCGAGTAGTCCGCTAGTGCTTCGTACGCTGCCTCCAATTCCATTGCTTGCGCGTGCCTGTTGGAAGAAAGAAGAACGTCCAATTAGAATCTTGCCGTAAACATACACCTTTCCGATAAAACAAACAAACGTAAGTACTCCGGTCCCATCGTCCTCCTACCGGAATGGCTTTTTACGACGGGTAATTAAGAACTTTCCAACGGATTGCATCGGAAGACAAACAATCTACCTACTGCGCGAACGACGAGCTCGTCCCGAACAATAAGTCCCAAACATTATCGTCTTTGTCGAAGAGTTTTGACCGCTAAAAGACCGCATATTGACGATAAAACCGTCAAACAAATTCGCAAGCCATCGCCAACCGACTCAAACGCACGTCAGAATTATGAAAACAAAAGCATGATGGAATTTGGCGAGGCCAATAAATTATAACCTCACCGCCGCCCGACCATCCCGTCCCTCCCCCTGGTGTGGGCGTCGCAAAATGCTGTGCAAATTTTCGAATCATAAAAGCGGTAAATAATCCACCAGTTTTTCCTCTCACAGTCGTCAGAACAGGAGGATTTTTCCGTTATAATTTATAACTCTTTCTCCCGGCTTCTGACGACACCGAACGTAAACAAATATTATAAACAGATTGTCTTGAGTGAGCGAGGCAGGCAGTCGGTCGGTCGGTGCAGAACTCGCTCGCGACAGCTGGTCGCAGCCAGCTTTTCAACTTTCGATCTTTTTTTGGCTGCGTCAAAACAAACAAAGGAGGCGCGCTGGGGCTTAGACACTAAATCGCACAGAAAAGCGGAAAATGCACCTCGTGAACGGTGAATAAATTTGAGCCGCTGAAAGAAAACGCCTCGTAAAATGTCACCGAGGATTAAGTGAGAAGGCGACGAGAGATGTTGACATTTGAGCGGTAATTGTTTGTAGGCAGCTCATCTGGCGTGTGAAAACACGAGTTTTCCATTTTCGCACTGGACAAAGCGGACGTGTGGGAGGACAAACTGCTGCCTTCCCTAGGGGTGCAATCATTGCATCAGCCGCTCAAGATCCTAGTAAGGGTGGGCCATATGTACAGATTAGTCTGTATTTTACAGATTTTCTTGATAATTTCTTAACCAAGCTCAGGTTCTTACCAGAAATGTCTAAAACTTTCCAAAGTTTTCGGAATTCTCGAAACTTGGGAGACAGTCCTGCGATTTCTGGGAAGTTCTAGGATCTTCTAGGAAGTTTTCAGAATTTTCAGAAAGGTCATGCAAATTCTGGGAAAACCTAACTTCAGAGAAGTTCTCGCAATTTCTGAGAAGTGCTCGGATCTTGTGGGAAGTTCTCGGAACTTCTGGGAAGTTCTTGGAAACTCTGGGAAGATCTAGGAAAATGTGAGAAGTTCTCGGGATTTCCTAATATCTTACATTCTTGGTAATTCCTGAAGATCTGGAAAGTTCTAGCATCTTCTGGGAAGATTTCAAAATTTCTGGGACGTTTTTTGAATTATCGTAAAGTTTTTTGAACTATGCGATTTCTAGAAAAACAAAGTTTTAAGAATTTCTGGAAAGTTTTCTGAACTTCTGAGAAGTTTTTGGAATTTCTGTGAAATTCACCGATCTTCTGGGAAGTACTCGAAATTTTTGGAAAGTTCTCAGAATTTCTGGGAAATTTAAGGATCTTCTGAACAGTTCTTGGAAGGAACTTAGCTCACAGAAATTGTGAGTAATTCTCGGATATTCTTCGAAATGCACGCATCTTGTAAGAATCTGTCGTAAATTCTGGGCTTTTCTCGGAACATTGGGGAACTCTTCAGAATTTCTAGAAAGCTCTGAGATCTTCTGGGAAATTGAACAATCTTCTTAGAGGTTCTCAGAATTTCTGGCAAGCTTTCGGAACTTCTGGATACCTCTCAGAACTGATGTGAAGTTCTTGAATCGTCTAGAAGTCTCTCGAAATGTTTGGAAAATTGTCGGAATTTTTGTAAATGCTCGTTTTTTTTAGAAGTGTTCAGACCTTCTAAGAAATTCTCGGAACTTATGGGAAGCTCTCGAAAACTCTGGAAGGCTCTCAAAATTTTTGGGAAGTACTCGGATATTCTAGGAAGTCTTTAGAAGTTCTGACATCCTCTGGGATGTTCTCGAAATTTTAGGAAAGTTCTCGAAATTTCAGGGAAATGCAAGGATCTTCTGAACAGTTCTTGGAAGAATCTTCTAGGAAGCTCACATAAATTGTGAGTAGTTCTCGGATGTTCTTCGAAGTGCACACATCTTGTAAGAATATGTCGGAAATTCTTGGAAATTGTAGGAAAATCTGGGCTTTTCTCGAAACTTTGGAGAACTCATCAGAGTTTCTAAAAAGCTCTTGGATCTTCTGGGAAATTCGCAAATCTTCTAACGAACTGCTCATTAACTACGTAGACCGTTTTTTTGGGATTCTTGAACCCCCCCCCCCCTCCGTAGACAATTGTCCATACAAAAAAATTAAAATTTGTATGCCCCTTCCTTAAACTGTCTACGAAGTTGATGAACAGCCCCTAAGAGGTTCTCGGAAATTTTGGAAAAATCTTGGAACTGAAGGGAAGTTTTCAGAATTTTTGGGAAGTTCTCATATCTTCTGGGGAAGTTCTCGGAAACACTGGGAAGTTCTCGAATTTTCTGCGAGGTTTTTCAATCTTCTTGCAAACTTCTGGAAATCTCTCGGAATTTTTTGAAATGTGCTGTAACTGCACGGATTTTTTTGAGAAGTTCTCAGATCTTCTGAGAATATTCTGTAACTCATGGGAGCTCTCGAAAATTCTAGAAGGCTCTCATTACTCGGATATTCTAGGAATTTTTTTGACGTTCTGAGATCTTCTGGGAAGTTCTCGGAATGTATGGAAAGTACTCGTAATTTCTGGGAAATTCAACGATCTTCGGAATAGGATCTTCTGAATCCTTCCCTCTGGGAAGGAACTTCTAAGAAGCTCACATAAATCGTGACAAGTTCTCGGATGTTCTTCGAAGTGCACGCATCTTGTGAAAATCTGTCGGAAATTCTGGGTAGATTGCTCAACTTTTGGGAAGTCCTCCGAATTTCTAGTATGCTCTCGAATCTTTTGGGAAATTTGCAAATCTTCTGAGAGGTTTTTGGAATTTCTTGCAAGCGTTTGGAAATTCTGGAAAGCTCTCGGAACTGATGAGAAGTTTCCGAAATTTTTGGAAAGTTCTCACTTCTTCTGGAGAAGTTCTTGGGAAACTCTGGGAAGTTTCGGAACTAATGCAAAGTTTTTTAATCTTCTGGCAAGTGTAATGAACTTCTAAAATGTACTGTAATTGCACGGATTTTTTGGGAAGTTCTCAGGCCTTCTGAGAATTTTCTGGAACTTATTGGAGCTCTCGAAAATTCTAGAAGGCTCTCAGTATTTCTGGGAAGTACTCGGATATTCTAGGAAGTTTTTTGAATTTCTGAGTTCTTCTGGGAAGTTCTCGGAATGTATGTCCGAATTTCTAGTAAGCTCTCGAATCTTTTGGGAAATTCTTCTAAGAAGATCTCGGCATTTCTGGGAAATTCAAGGATCTTCTGGACAGTTCATGGAAGGATCTTACAGGAAGCTCACAGAAATTGAGGGTAGTTCTCGGGTTTGGAAATTCTGGAAAGCTCCCGGAACTGATGAGAATTTTTTCGAAATTTTCGGGAAGTTCTCACATCTTCTGGGGAAGTTCTCGGGAAACTCTGAGAAGTTTCGGAACTAATGCAATAATTTTTAATCTTCTGGAAAATTTATGGAACTTCTGGAAAGCTCTCGGATTTTTTTGGGAAGCTCTCGCATCTTCTGGAGAAATTCTCGGATTTTTGCGAAGTTCTTCAACCTTTTGGAAAGATTGTGGAACTTCTGGAAAGCTCTCGGAATGTTTGGGAAGTTTTCGCGATTTGCTGTAAATACAAGGATTTTTTCAGGAAGTTCTCAGATCTTCTGAGAAATTCTCGGAACTTATGGAAAGCTCTTTAAAATTCTGGAAAGCTCTCAGAATTTATGGGACGTACTCGGATCTTCTAGGAGGTTTTTAGAATTTCTGAGAAGTTTTGAGATCATCTGGGAAATTTTCGGATTTTTTGGAAAGATCTAGGAGTTTCTGGGAAGTTTTCGTATCTGCTAGGAAGTTCAAGAGCCTTCTGGGATGTTCCGAGATCTAGAAGATCTAGATCTAGTAGTACTCGGAATTTGTGTGAAGTACACAGAACTTCTGAGAAGTTTTTTGATATTCTGTAAAGTTCTAGAAATGTATGGGCTGTCCCTGGAACTTATGTGCAGTTCTCAGAACTTCTGAGTAATTACCGGAACTTTTGAAAAGTTCTCTAATATCTTTGGAATTTTTGAGAAGTTTTCGGATTTTAAGGGAAGTTCTATGGTTTTTAGAGAAGTTCGCGGCACTTGTGGGAGGTCTCGGTAATTATATGAAGCTTTCAGAAATTCTTTGAATTTCTAGGAATTTCCTGGAAGTTCACTGAATTTGAGGGAAGTTCTCAGATCTTCAGGAAAGTTCTCGGAATTTCCGGGAAGCTCTGGAATTTTTTAAATGTCCTGCACAGTCCGTAGTACTTCTGGGATGGTCCGAGAATTATTTTACTATTCCTAGATTTTCAGGGTAGTTCAGAGAACTCCTTGGCTATTCTTCGATTTTCAGTGAAGATTCGAGAATTCCATTTCATGCCCAGAACTTTAGGGAAAGTGTCAAAAAAAATTATAATAATTCCGTTAGCTTCAGGGAAGTTCCCTATATTTGAGGAATGTTGTGAAAACTTGAGGTAACCTTCGGAGACTTCAGTGGAAATTTTCGAGAACTTCAGGGACGTTCAAGGAATTCTTAAAGTGTTCAAATACGACTAAGATTGTTAAGGCACTTAACCCGTAAAAGCCCGGGACAAACTTTTATTTTAAATTTATTTATCTCCGCATGACCGATTTCAATGATCCTTAAATCATTCTGGTGAGCCCCTCCTTCTTTTTTATATATTAAATAATGTTTTGGAACGGGGGTCTTTTTTTAAACATTATCATATATCTTACCTATCATTGCGACAACATATTGATTTTT